TACAGATTAAGATGATTATCAGGTGCAAGGAACTAAGGAAAATAATTCCACAAAGGAAAAAACGGTGATCTAGCACAAGAATTAGAGGGGAAAATAAAGGGAAGAAGAGGGGATCACTATTTGGAAGGTTGACTTTGAGGTTCAAACTCCAGGAGCAGTCCTAGTTTATGTCTAACGTCTCCACTCTCCCCTCTTTAGCGCCAACGACTTTGATCTTTTTGCTGTTGGGTTGAGCGGGTCACCTGCGCACCCACCCACAACTCACCCACCACCCGGTGGATGGCTCCCAGCGCAACCCGTCACCCACCCACAGACCCACCCACTTAACGAAATTCGGGTCAAATGCGGGTGGGTCGGCCCAAACCCGCGGATGATCCGCCCGCATGCCCAGCCCTAGCTAAACCTACTCCTCTCCTCTCCTCTTAATAATTTAATTTGGGGTTAATTGCATGGTTGGTCACTAAGATTACAAAAAATGTTCGAGTTTGGTCACTCGAAATATTTAAATCCATTGACGGTACTTCAGTTTACTGAAACCGTTCAAGTTTGGTCACTCTCCGTCTAAGTCCGTTAACTTTGGCTGATGTGGCAGTCAACTCTCAAAATTGACCATTAACTTAGTGACATGACAATTAAGAAATAATAAATAATTGAAATAAAAAATAATAATTATCAATTATGAAATTAAAAGAGCCCTCCGACATCACATCCCTTCCCCGCAATCACTTCTTTCCGCTCGGTGAGCGGAAACGAAGTGGGGACTTGTTTGTAATGAGAAGAAGCCAAGACTTTTGGAGCAAGAGGCACTGCAACAAGGATCTATATATATGGCAGTCTTCCGAAGGCAGTGTTGATCGCTCTGATGCTACAACATGGCGGTGTCTTCATCTGATTCAGTAATCCCCTCCGCTTTTGGCTTGGACTGTTGCTCTTGAGTTATGTCTCTGATGCTTGAGCTCGGTTGAGGGTGCTATTTTTGAGTCAGGCTTATGTTTTTGTTTCACTGCTGGTTGAAGCCTTTTCTTTCGACGCTGTACGTGTGGTCGTTGTTGACCTTTCTTTGTTGTGCATTTCGTTTTTAGCTTCCTTGTGGCAGGCAGGGTGCTTGGGTTTTTTCTTCTCTCTTTGAAGCAGGGTCCTCCTGGTGGGATTTGCTTCTTTTTATTTTGTGTTTTGACTTTAGCTTTCTTCGTTTTGTTTTCTTTTTTCGCTTGGGCGCATCGCACGGCAGGAGATAGGGTCAGTAATAAATAATGACCGTAGATCTAGGAGGCAGACAATCGTGTGGTTGGGCCGGATGCTAAGTGTATAAGGATATTTTTGTCCGTTTATATATTAAATTCTTTATTTTTATTTTATTTCGTATTAAATGGCTTCATTTTAAAAAAAGGAAAGAGAAACCATTACTTCTCTGCAACTCTCATTTATCTTTCTGTCTTCCTTCTCTCTTGCTTTTTCTCTCCCAATCTCTTTTCCATATCCTCTCTCTTCCTTTTTTCTCTCAATCTCCTTTTGAGATCTAAATCTGCTCCCTTATCTTCTTTATTTTTTTTTCTCCAGGACGGGTAAAATTTGCAGCCACTCTCTTTCATTGCATTTCTTCTCTTCATCATCTCGTTGGCCTCAATTTCGATATTTCCCATTTTTCGGCATTTTGGTGTTCTTGATTGCGAAAGAGGAAATTAGAGGCGACAGAAGACGATTTTTTTTCTCTACCTCCTTCTGTTTTTTTTCTTTTAGATAATATATATTTATATTATAACTCTATATCATATGGTATTCGGTGGTAACAAAATATATATTGATATTACCACACTATACCATATGATAATGTATGGTATTGTGTGGTAACGAATTATATATTAATATTACCACAGTACTATATCATATGGTATTGTATGGTATTGTGTTATATTACCACACTATACCATATGATATTATGTGGTAACGAAATATATATTGATATTACCACACTATACCACATGGTATTGGGTGGTAACGAAATATATATTGATATTACCACACTATACCATATGGTATTGGGTGGTAACGAAATATATATTGATATTACCACACTATTTCATATGATATCGTATGGTATGGTGTGATATTACCACACTATACCATATGATATTATGTGGTAACGAAATATATATTGATATTACCACACTATACCACATGGTATTGGGTGGTAACGAAATATATATTAATATTACCACACTATACCATATGGTATTAGGTGTTAACGAAATAAATATTGATATTACCACACTATACCATATGGTATTGGGTGGTAACGAAATATATATTGATATTACCACACTATACCATATGGTGGTATTGGGTGGTAACTGGTAACGTAATATATATTGATGTGGCAAATTTTTTCATACCATATGGTATGATTTTATTTAATACCAGTCAATACCATATGGTATGACTAATAATAACCGACAAATTTTTTTATGTCCAAAAAATATCAAAGTGGATATCATTTTGAAGAGCACAATTAATCTGATCTAACTGTGCAAAAAAATTAAATTCCAACTTAAAACGAGTGAGAAATCGTCTGTTAATGATTAAGAGAAGAAAAATTAAAGGTGTTTCGAGGAAAGAGGAGGCGCTGATGTGGTCTGATCAAAAGTCAGCGTTGGCAATAAATAGAGGCAGGGGCAATTTTACTTTACTGTCCTTTCACATTTAATTTAAATAAAAAAAGGGACTGACACGTGAAAACAACTGATGGGTTACTGATAGAGGTGGCAATTAGGATCCAAATCCATGAATCCAATCCAATCCATCCACCAAATTATCCACCTAATCCAATCCATTTAAATCCAATCCATTTGATCCAAATCCAATTGGATTGGTGGATTCATGGATCAATCCATGGATCCAAATGGCAAATTACGATTTGGTACCTATATTTTTTATATTTTATATTTTGGTACCTAAAATTTATATTTTTATACGAAAAATATCATTGGAAAATTACGTTTTGGTACCTAAAAATTTTCATTATGACATTTTAGTACCTAAACTTTTCAAGATTTACATTTTGGTCCAAGCCTTGGATGTTATTTGGATTCATGGATCAATCCACCAATCCATGAATCCACCAATCCATTGGATCCAATCCATTTGATCCATGGAGCCACGAATTCCATTGGATCCAATCCATTTGATCCATGGAGCCACGAATCCAATCCACGAATCCAATCCACGAATCCGATTCAATTGCCACCTCTAGTTACTGATGGGTTACTGACCCATCAGTTACTAACCTGATCTAGTCCCGCATCGCACTACTTGTGCCCACACGCTTTGTTGCTCTTTTTCACTCTCTTGTCGTTTTATTAATATCAATCACCATTAAAAAAAAAAAAAAACTCTTCCGGCAGCCGATCCAGGTAGTCTGCCGCTCACCGGGAGAGAAGCAGGGGAATAGTTTGCCGACAAACGATTTCATGACGCTCGCAAGGAGGAATCTGCAGTGTGCAGCACAAATCCACCTTTTAAAGTGCTGGAGCAGGTAAGAAGCAATGTACTTAATAGAGTCTTGATGGGATTTGGAAAGTTCTCAATCCCAATTCAAGGTGCAAAGAAACTGCATTGGAACCGTAAAAATATACCACACGCCGCCGCCGTCCGAGAATGACGGTTATGGCGGATTTGATTCGGGGTGAAGGATTCGAGGTTCGCAATCATCTAATCTTTAAGATCTCATTGCGGTGGGAATTGGAGGAGGAAGAGCGGAGAAAAAGTGATTGCGAGGAAGGGATGTGGTGACGGGTGCCTCTTTTAATTTAATAATAATTAATAATAATAATTTTTTATTTTATTTTATGGTAAAAATGAGTTGTACGTTAAAATAGATTAAATTTTATTTTATTTATTATTTCTTAATTGCCACGTCACTATGTTGACGGTCAACTTTGAAGGTTGACTGCCACATCAGCCAAAGTTAACGGAGTTGGACGGAGAGTGACCAAATGTGAACGGTTTCAGTAAACTGAAGTACCACCAATGAATTTAAATATTTCGAGTGACCAAACTTGAACGTTTTTTGTAATCTCAGTGACCAACCATGCAATTAACCCATTTAATTTGTATCTTTCATTTCCTAGCTAGCTAGCTAGCTAGCTGGATATTAATTACTGATACGAAATACTACTAGCTAGCTAGCTTGTCCAGTTCTTTTCAGTTACTCATAAATAATACTTACAATAATTAATAATAGTTATCATTGAGTTTGAGTAGAACCTCAACCAACCAATAAGTAGTTGATTATTGCAAATTGTTAGTATCTGGTATAAAAATGTATTATTTAACATTTCTAAATAACAAACTTGATCGAGGACTCATTATCGATCAGTCGTTTTCAAAAGAAATACGATCCCTATTTGTTAAGCACATGATATTCGTCGTTCGTAGATGAAAACTTTCTTTCACGTACACGGAGGGGGCTGTCATGGACTTGAGCCAAACGCTTTACTCGGTGGGGACGGCCATCATTTCAAGGGCGCTTTTCGGGAAGTTGCAGGGGCAAGAGGAAGGAAGCCTTCTTGCCAGTTCTGCATGGAATCGTCGAGGCATATGGCGGGTTTGCTCTTGGGAACCTATTCCCATCCAGCAACTTAATACGCCGACTCAGTGGTACTGAGAACACCAAGCACACAAGGTTCACGAAGAAGCAGATGTCATTCTGGAAAGCCATAATCGATGAGCATGTAGCAACAAGAAAAGCAAGATCAGCAAAAGCTAATGATGATGACCAAGTAACTGAACATCTTGTTGACGTACGTGCTTCTGAATTTCAAAGAGAACCAAGGGCTTGGGTTCCCTTTCACCAATGCCCACATTAATTAAAGCTGTCATCCTGGTAATTATTAACCACATACATACATACATACATAGTTAAACATGATTAATATATGCTTATAATTTATACAAAAACTTGTGCTCAAATGTTAATCTATTGATCTATGTGCACGTAGGACATGTTTTTAGCTGGCAGCGACACATTCTCCTCAACTGTGGAATGGGCGATATCACAACTCATTATGCATCCCCATGTCATGAAAAAGTCACAAGCAGAGGTGAGACAGGTTCTCGATAAAAAAGGAATGATCCATGAAGCGGGACTTCAAGAATTATCATATCTCAAAGTGGTTGTCAAAGAAAGTCTCAGATTATACCCTCCTGCTCCATTGCTAGTTCGCCAAGGATTTCAAGAAAGCGTGTTGATTGCGGGATACCAGATACCGAAAAAATCAAAGATCATGATCAATGTAACGGCCATCAGCCAAGATCCTCGTAACTGGACGGAACCCGAAAGGTTTTATCCAGACAGGTCTTCCAACAAAACTTTTGATCACAAAGGCCCAAACTTTGACTACATACCGTTTGGAGGTGAGAGGAGAATATGCCCTGGAATATCTTTCGGCTCGATCGTTGTTGATTTTCTGTTAGCGAGTCTGCTCTATCATTTTGATTGGAAGCTCCCGAATGGAATCAAACCTCAAGACCTTGATATGTGCGAAAAATTCGGCTCAGTGGTCACGAGGCAAAATCATTTGCATCTCATTCCTATTGCCTTTACAAACCCTAAAATGGGCTGTGTAATTATCTGCTTCTTGCGGAGGCGTACTAGGACAAGAGTACATATATATGCAAGCTGATACTGACTAATGGAGTGACTGAGGGAAGGCTAATTAATTATATAAGTTTTGATAGATCTTGTTTTAATTACTTTGCTAAACCCTGTTAATGTATATCTTGATTTTATTAAAACCGATTAATATGTTTCAATCTGCACTAGCTAGCTGACAATGATCCAACATATATATGCATGATTTTATTCGATCTGCTTGCTGCATATATACATGTGATGCTAGTCCTAAATATATTAAAGCTATAATGTCATTACTGTTGCATAAGAGTTTTACTACTTTGCACAGCTGTCATTCTACTTTTATGACCCGCCGCACTCATCATCAGAATTCAGAGCATGGAGTCTCCAGTAGGATTCTTATAATAAATACTAGGTTAAGTTGTCAGTGTAAATGGGGATGTTAAACCGTGTGGTTTCCCAACCTACACCAACAATCACTGTTGATAAATCAAGAACAATAAGATAGCTAGATGATGCACTGTAGTTCAGCGCACATAAAACGTACCGGAGATTTAGTTTGCCAAGCAAAGAAGCCAAAGGCAGTACAAAATCATCTTGTTCAAATCCAAAAGTCTTTGCACGCTGAATAAGCAAACGTGCACACTGTTTTGTCTCCATGGAAGTTGGAGAATATGAACTTAGTTCTAGAATGAGGATATTAGGTGCATATCAAGTGCACCAGCAAGTTTTTCCCTCATCAATGTAGACGATCACCTGTCCATTCTTGAGGTATGCCAAAGTGTTGCAACTCTTATGTGCGGTTTGACCGGTGGAGTTCTGTTTTCTAAATCCGAGCAACCGATGTATAGCTCCCCTGCAAACATTCTGCTACACTTTCTAATCAGCAATGCTTTGGCAGATTCTGTTTCGAGTTTTTTGTACTTGTTGGGGGACATTTCAATTATCGAGAGAGCGGCCTCATGGTCCAGTATGACATCAATATCATCATCTCCATGTTCACACTTGACTTCCAGCTGATAGTGCAAGCTAGTTATAGATACAAATGAGAGTTCTGGTTAGCTTATTTGTTGATATATTAATAAGCATAAGAAGTGTTCACATCGAAACAAAAACTTACTTCGGCCATTGCTCAGTTCTTCGGCAAATGCTACTTCGAAACTTCAATTGTGATATGGAAAACTTGGCACGGTAAAGTATCTAACACAAATGGCAATTTATGTTTTAATATATGTGCGTATGTAAAATTTCTGTGCAAGCTGTTGGCAAGGTAGATATATTTAGTTCCCAACCGTACCTTGTGGTGGCTCTGATCATATCCAAGCACAGCTTTGATGTCAGCGAGTGATTTCTTCTCAATTCCTGGTCGGAGGCAGCCTGTTTTCACACCGGTGTCGGCATCCATGTAGTAAACCTGTTTGCGACTATGAAGGAAACTGGATTCCAGGAAAAATACAACAAACCATCAGTTGGCAATACAAATTAATTGAGATATGAACAGCATATGTGAATAGAGAAGTGTAGATGTGCATAATTTCCTTGACCGAGTGTGTGTAGGATTCGATCTTCAGAGAACTGGCAGGAGTTGATTTGAAACGGTATTTGTATTTCTGGTTGGGCAGAGGTGGCACTCGAATGACAGATTTGATTGTAACTATGAGAGGCATGCGAGCTTCAGCTGCAGGTGCATTTTCTAAGAACCTTAAGATTTCATATCCTTGATAATCAACCATTGCCTTGGCGCCGCTGTGTACGTGGACAAATATTAAGTTAGTGGATCCATAGAATTCAGAAATGAACACATTATTTTGGAAAATGTACCTCACATCCTGTACAACCATGCGAAATTCTTTGAGAATACCACCAACTGTAGTGGGAACACTCAGACGCCTGATGCACACAGTGATGTCTGTTGTGAACAAAAATGTTTGTCATTTTAAAGTTTAGATTAATCTCAGTATGGTAAACAGAGATAGTCAAATGTACCTGTATGGTACTCAATGGTGTCTGTTCGAAGAGGCACTATCGAAAAGACTATCCCAATATCCCAGCCAATAGGGAAGCGTGGGTCTTCTTTTTTTTTTTTCCCAAGGCAAGCCCAGAGGGCATGGGACAAAGACTCGACTCAGGTACAAGTAGATTCCAAGAAAGGACGGTAATCCGTAAGCAAGCGGATTCCCGATGAAAGAGCCTGATTAGCCACTACATGGGCAGCTCTGTTAAAGCTCCGAGGAGCAAAAAGACACGACACTGACTCAAAAAAGGAGAAAAAGGAGTGAACTTCCTCCAAGACGGCCCCTGCTCGAGAGTGAGAAGCATTCTTTTCCATAGCGTGCTTGATAACCAGTTAAGCGTCGTCTCTCGAGAATCCCGCAAATCCGATGGAGCCTCCTTGATTTTTCTTCATGGCTCCGTCAAATCTCACAAGGATACCGTTATTAGGGCATAAAACATCTGGATGACTCCTTCGAGGTCCTGTTTGATTGTTAGGGTTCGCCGATGATCTCTGAACACCTGTGGGTTGCCGAGCTTCCTGTCCCTCCGCCGTTCGCCATTCCTCTATATGCGCTGTTAGTTGTCGGAACAAAACTCGAGATTGAAGTAATACTAAAGCATAAGTAGCTTTGCATCTTCCTTTCCAAATTCGCCAGAATAGGAAGACCGTATCGGCAATCTCGATCTTGGAGATGTGAGTAGCGCAGAATAGATTTTTCCATGCCAGATCTGGTTGGAAGGAGCGCATTGAGTTTCTACGATGTTCCAATCCAGCCATAATCCATAACTCTTTTGCAATCCTACATTCAAAAAAGCAATGATTAATGTCCTCAGTTGGCTCACAACACACTGGACACTCGCTAGACGTAGTCAATCTTTTAAATTGCAGTATTTTGCGAACAGGAAGGAACCCCCGAACTATTCTCCAAAGGAAAAATTTGAGTTTTGGTGGTACTGGTATACTCCATAATGATTTCCAAAATTTTGTGTCCAAGTAGTCTGGTATACTATTATGAAATGGGTTAATTTCATTTGTTAAGAGGTGGTACCCCGATTTCACTGTATATTGACCAGATTTATCGTAGTGCCAGATGAGTTTATCTTCCCTCGGATATGAGGGAAGAGGTATGGACAAGATTAGTTCGGCAGAAGCTGGGTAGAATAAAGATCGAATCTTGTTAGAGTTCCAAGTAAACGTTATTGGATCGATAAAGAAGGCAACTACTGGACCTTCTAAGGTCATACCTGTCTTCAAGATTGGGAAGGAGGGTGGATCTGAAGGTATCCACGGATCCTGAAGAATGTATATTGAGGACCCTGATCCAACTTGCCATCGCAGGCCCTTTTTGAGGAGGTTCTTCCCTTCAAGAATACCTTGCCAAGCCCAAGAAGGGCGGGGTCCAGCTCTCGCATTTAGGAAGTGGTCATTAGGGTGATACCGGGCTTTATATATTTTTGCCAAAGTATTATCAGGATCTATTAGTAGTTTCCAGGCTTGTTTAGCTAACATGGCTATGTTAAATCGGTCGAAGTCTCTGAATCCCAGACCCCCCTCAAATTTGCTATTACATACTTCAGGCCATGAAATCCAATGCATTCCTTTGTCTTTGTCTTGGTTCGCCCACCAAAATCGGGCCAATTGACTATTAAGTCTTCGGCATTGAGTAGAAGGGATGCGGAAGCATGACATGGCATAGATTGGTGTGGCTGTTCCTATCGACTTTATCACCACTTCTTTAGCTGCCAATGACATATGTTTAGATTTCCAGTTCTGGATCCGGGCCGCTAAAGAGTCCTCAATATACCGAAAGGTAAGGACTTTAGATCGATGTATTCTTGATGGAAGACCAAGATATCGATCATGGGTCCCTATTTTGGCGACTCCTAGTGCATTTGCTAATTCTGTAGCCTCTTGTTCGGAGATATTGGAACTAAAGGTAACAGCCGATTTCTGGAGGTTAACTCGTTGACCGCTTGCAGTTTCATATGATTGCAGTATTCCTAACAGATTTGTTATTTCTGTTCTTGAGGCTCTAAGAAAGAGATATGAGTCATCGGCAAAGAAGAGGTGGGAGGTCATGGGAGCCTCCCTATGAACTCGGAGCCCATGGAGAGAGTAGTTTGAAATAGCGGTTTGGATCATAGCCGAAAAGGCCTCTGTGTAGATGGCGAATAATAATGGTGAGAGAGGACACCCTTGACGTAAACCCCTCTGAGGTTTGAAAAACCCGTGAGTTGAGCCGTTCAAGATTATCGAGAAGGAGACAGTAGTGATACAAGAGCGAATCCATTTAATCCATTGATCACTGAATCCCAATACTTCCATTACATTAATTAGAAATGCCCATTCTACACGATCATAGGCTTTCTCCATGTCAAGTTTTAGCGCCATCCATTTTTCTTTTCCAGAGTCTTTTGTTTTAAGGAATTGCATTACTTCTTGACCAATCAAGATATTTTCAACAATAGATCTTCCCTTAACAAAACCATTTTGGTTAGGGCCCACTATGATTGGTAATATATGGCTTAGTCTATCCGCCATGATTTTTGCAATAATTTTGTAGAAAACTTGACATAATCCTATAGGTCGCATTTGTCTCATGTATACAGCATTTGGAACTTTGGGAATCAGGGTAATTAGAGTGTGATTAAAATTATGGAGGAGTCTTCCTGAGTGGAAGAAAGCTTGAATGGCCTCACATAGCGAGTTACTAATATCCTCCCAATAGGTCTGGTAAAAAATTCCGGTAAAGCCGTCTATTCCCGGAGCCTGATAAGCTCCAATAGTGAAAGTAACTCTCTTAATTTCCTCTCGAGAAACCAGGGTTGTTAAGGAGGAGTTCATGAAGGAATCCACTTTACCGACAAGACCTAGGTTAGCCACCATAAGAAGTGAATCTACTCCATTTGATGTGAAAAGGTTGACAAAAAAGCCAACATATATTAAGGCTTTACTTTGTTCATCTGAATGGGGATCCCCGTTATCGTCGTTAAGAATTTTAATAATGTTTTTCCTCCTTCTTTGAATAGTGGATTGGTGAAAGAAATGAGTATTTAAATCCCCTAACTGAAGATAAGTCGTTCTCGATTTTTGTTTCCTGAAAATCTCCTCTTGTAGATAGAGTGTGGTTAACTGGGTTTCTAGTGACCTGATCAAATCCCAATCCACTGAGGGGGCATCTCGAGCTTTGTCTATAGCATCCCTTATTTCTCTAATCTGACGCGCTGAGTTGGTGGTTCCTTTAGACATCCACTCAACAAGGTTATATCGAGCACCTTTTAATTGGGAAAAGAACTTAAATTGTCTTGTACCATTTACTTGGTCCCACCAATTTCCAAGCACTTTTTCTTTTGTTTCAGAATTACTTGTCCAGCGACGATCGAATTGGAAGCGACTCCTACCCAATTTAATTTGAGATTCGAGATGTAAAATGATCATTCGATGATCAGATCCCGAGTCCGTTAAGTGAGTTACTTGGGCTTGAGGCCAAGTGTTAAGAACGAGGGAGGTTCCAAGAACTCTATCAAGTCTGACCATAATGTGATCCTCCGCCGATTGACGATTAGACCAAGTTTATTGGGGACCACAAAAACCCATATCCTGTAACCCAGCTTGAGCGCAGAAATCTCTTAGCTGGTCGAGAGTAGTAAATGCAGGGCTCCTACCCCCTGTCTTTTCAGATGACTGGAGAATACAGTTGAAATCCCCTAGCACGAAGATTGGATAGGAGCAAGCAATGACTAGATTGGAAATGCCATTCAATTGGGATTCCCTGCTTCTTGTCTCACAACTAAGATGAACAAAAATAAACGAGGCGATCCCCAACTCAGGATGTTGGCATTCTATATGAAAGAAGTGACGATCCCTTCCAATAATAGAACATTGGACGTCGGGTTTCCAAGCTACCGCAAGTCCACCTGATGATCCTACGGCGCTCACTAACTCAACCTCCTTAAAACCAATTTGTTGAATCGTTTTTTTAACTTCATCATCTTTATTTTTGGTTTCACTCAGAAACAATAAATATGGAGTATATCGGTTCACAATCTCTTTCAATGATCTCGTTGTAGTGATGGGGCCGATACCACGACAATTCCAGAAAAGTATACCCATCCGTTAGTTGGAGGTGGAAGAAATATTTAAGTAAAAATAAACGATCCTAAACCCTTAGCTAAACAACCAGACAGCTCTTTATTGAATTGGTTCGAGCGTTTCACAACCCTCAGAGGTTTAGAATAAAAGAAGAGGTCCGAAATCGGGTACCTAAGCAGGCCATATAAGGTCTGATAAACAGAGCTTGGAAGCCTCTGATATAGTTAAACTTTTTTTTTTTCCTTTCTTTTCTCTGTCGATTTCCTGCAGTTCCTTTTCCTTTTACTGATCAAGCACAAAAGACAAGCTGAGAGATAGTTTTTAATACCCGACACTTCTCATATCTCAGATCAGTATAATTTCCGGCAGAGTTGGTTTTGGAGAAAGAATCACAAATACGGCATCTAAGCTGGAGGAGAGGAATTCCGACTAAGATAAGAGAATGAACTTGAAATGGGGAGAGAATACCCACGTTGGTGAGACTAAACAGGTTTTATCCTGGTAATCAGTTTCTGAATGAGGGAAGGATCTTCTCCCGGAGCTCTTGCCACAGCAGATCCTTCAGAAGGGGCATGTGCGATTTTGCGGATCGCAAGGTGAAGATTGAACCGAATTAGCAGTGGGACAAAAGGAAAGCTATATCCTTACCTCTTCTAGAATCTGCTGATATCGCAGATTGGGTGTTTTCAACCCTTAAGACTATAATGAACAAGTATCGAAGGACCACTGAAGATCCTAAAAGATGTGATTTCCAGAATTTGAGGCCCACAAGGGGATACTATTTTCATTGCCCTGAGAACTTAGATGCAGAAGAGAAACACTTCGAATATACGCCAAACTCGTTGCAGAGAGAGAGAGAGAGAGTGAAAGGGGCACCCGCCGCTCTCATTTCTGGAGCTCCAGTCGCCGGCAGCTTCCTAACCCGCTCCAAGCGTGGGTCTTCTGGGTCTTCTTCAATCCTTGAAATATTTTGTTCGGGAGTTATGTGCAACCTTAACTCTCCTGGAACAATCCTAGGATTTTCCCTCGCTGGTATCGCCAGAACCGAATTAAACTGATAAAGCTTGCCGATCTTTATTCTGCGAGATATCTCGGTGATGTCTCTTTCACCAACCATCGACTCAATCAATCGTTCCTATAAGAACAACACTTGAGCTAGTAATACTGTACAACGCATTTTGTCGAAAGTCATTAATGAAAGGACTGTGTCATTTTGTAATTGGATCGTAACAAACCTTTTTATCCATCCAAATTATGTGCATGGTTAGATCTTTAAGTTTGGGTGCTTCTCGGAATTCAAGCCATGTAAACACAGGTCTAGCAATAACTGTGCAACGTTGGTGCCCAAACGCAATACCTAAATGGCATGCAGGTTTCAATCGGGTCTATAAGACAATAAAGGGAAACAAAAATGGGTATTTTATCTGTTTTGCAGAGGATTCGAGATTCTCATGATGATTTATTTACAGAAATGGAAGGCGTACACCTTTGTTATCGGTGGGGACCATGTGACCGCCATATGTGGACTGGTCTTTTTCGGGTAAGCTCTCCATTTTAGGTGGGGTCTTTGGGCAAACAGCAGAAGTACCGATGAGTAGTAATTCCCGAGATGTAAAGGCGGTGAAGAAGAGGGCGACGTGGATTTACCTTGGTTTAAAAGATTGTCTGGTAGCTTCAGTGGTCGGGCTTTACGCGGCGGAGAAGGGTTGATGAAGATGTGGACTGCTGGTATGGTTGGTGAAGGATGGTAGGGTTCAAAGGGGAGGTTCGATTGGAGCGCTCATATTGGGCGGGTTTACGATGGGCCTTTATCTGTAGCCCTAAAGCACCATTTGGGCTGGGCTCAAATGCACTTGTTGGCATAAAATGCAAAAAGACATGTCAATTTAAGAAGTAGACCAGGCCCAAACACGTTTGGTCCACAGTAATTAACGCTACAACGGATTTAAGCGTCTGCCTTGTTCGAAACATGAAGGACACAACAGCGGCACACAAAGATTACCATAGTGTGGAATGAAGCTGAACTGAAGTTGCCGAACTGTATTACACATCAAAAGCAACTGCACACAAAGATTGGCACACTGTGGAAGTTTTGAATCACAATAGTGTTAATTTATGTGTTTAAACTTCTAGGCTTCCAATCCAGACCAAGAAGACACAACCAAACCAGTTTGAAGTTTTGGCTGCGCCAATAGTAGCAGACAAATCTGTGAAAAGGGCATGAAATGTTAGCTAACACGGTTGTAGTTTTGATAGTAGATTAGATAAAGATAATCATTTGTAGTTTTGTAAACTACCTTCATGCAATGCACAGCAGGTGCACAACCCACCCTGACCTATTAGACAGTGAGGACATCACTGAATGACTCTGCAAACACAATGTTTCTTGTATAGTTGTTTGGAAGTTCTGCTGGATTTTATATTACCATTCGCAAACCTGTTGCTGATCGTACCCTTGAAACTCCCACGTAGAGCTGTCCATGGCTAAATACTGGTTCTGGCAAATAGATTCCGACTTTGTCAAACGTCTGTCCTTGGCTCTTATTTATTGTCATTACATAACATGTGGCAACTGGGAACTGACGTCTTTTGAGTATAAACGGCCACTTGGAGTTCTCAACATTGAGAACAATTTTTGGGATTATGACTTCGTCGGTGTCCTAAGAACCTCCCATGATGTTGCCCTTCATGAAATTGTCACTCAACATTGTGATCATAATCCTTGTGCCATTGCAAAGACCCAAAGCTGGGTTCAAGTTTCGCAGCAGCATAGCTAGAGTGTTTTTCTTCAATGTAAGTTCATGGTTTGGCACTCCATTGAATGTAAGTGTGTTTAGAAACTCAGTTGGGTAGCATTCATCCAATGTAGATGATGTGTCTGTGGATTGCAGCAATGAAACAGAACTATAATACGTCTTTGAATCATCAGGAACCCTTTGCATCATATAATCATTAATCTGAGATACGGTTGCATTCCTTGGCGCAACTATTGTCCTGTTTTTTAGATATGCTGGGCGCATATAATTGGTGTCAAATGATTCATTTACATCATCTGCAATTGCTTCAATGTGATTTTCCTCATGTTGTATAAGAAACAACTCAGATATTTGTATCCAAACAAAACAAAACATTCACCTCTCTGAACTATTGAGGTACAAACATCAGAGACTTCCATATGGACTGAACAGAATAACCAGCGTCCAGTCAATGGTCGAAGTGAGTACATCAGTGAATTTCCAAAAAACCAGAGTAGTTAGGGAAAAACAATAAGTTTTTTTTTACAGAAAACAGAGCAACATGTCCTGAATAGATAACATACATAATTATAAATAAGCCGTTCTGACAAACTAAGTTCCAAGTAGAACAGTTTTCAATCATACGAAAGCTTTAAGGTTCCAGATTGAAGCAATTCGGATTGTAGGAGGATTTCCTGAAGTCCCAGGAGCAACATAAGCTTCAGCCATAAAAGGCACATAACACCTGTCTTGAATGCACTGATATCCTTCTTCATAGGTTAGACTGAAAAGTTCCTCAGGTGAAACCCAAACCAAGCCCAACACAGCCTCATGATCAAACACAACATCAACATATTCTCCCTCACACTCACATGTTGCTTGTAATTCATATCGTACCCTGAATTAAACAATAAAAGGAACGTTTTGATTTTACTGGAATACAATGGACAACAGATTATTAGCAAAACATAAAATTGAATCATACCTTGGAAAACCTGAACAGGATTTAAAGACTTCTGGACCGTATGTAAATCTTGTCATTTCCAGCATACAACGATAGAGAGCCTGAAGGAAGGAATTTGTGTTATAATAGGTAAAAGATATGACTATATATTTGGGATATGTGTTATCCAATATAATCAGAACAACAAATATGATACATATACCTGGTAGGTCTGTGCATGGAACATTATATCATCCTTTAGCTGCCTTAGTGTTCTTTTGGGAGGAAGAAGACCACGGAGATAACCAATAGAGCAGCGAGAAGTGCTATTGATGTAAGTCACTGGCATTCGATCACCTATGAACCTAAAAAGCAAAAAGAATGTTCGTATTGTTTTTCTAGCATCTAACAGAGCAGGGCTGTCAATATATAAACATAGAATTCGAATATAATAATACCTATTTATGATTTTCTCATAATGGTGATTGTAAGAAGCAATGATCAGACAACTTCCAGGTGAAGATTGAAATACATATGCATCTCCAGTTCCATCTGTAATTAGCAACCTTGTAACAGCAGTAATTGTGGTAATGAGAGGAAGCCGAGCTTCAGATTCCCCTGCAAACTCCAAATACTTTGTAATCTCAGTTCCAGAGTAGTACACTGTCGCCTTGTCGCCTCTACACAAATAGCAAAAGATCAGTTAATCCCACATAAAGTCTAACAAACAAAAGTCAGCACAAGAATACGCAAGAAACCTGCTGTTTTCTATGATGAGCTCAAACCCAAGAACACCATTACTTGAAAATTCTGGAATTGTTAGATGAACAACGCAACCCGTAACATCTGCAATTAAATTCATAGTTAGCAAATAATCATGAATACTTTTTGGTGAAAACAACTTTCAAGGAAGATACCTCCATAATTTACAACTGCTTCTGCCTCTGTTGGAACAGCTGAGAACGAAGTTTTCAGAAAAGCATTGACAGAAAACTTTGGATAATCCGGATTGTCAGGCACACAAAATATTATCTGTTCACGCCTTATGGCAAATCGAACTTCGGCGGGAACAACACGCCTGTTTTCCCATGCAGGAATAACATGAAAGCCATCCAGAACATGTAAATCTCCTACTTTAAACTTATGTTGCATTTCTTGAATGTCATCTTCCTCAACACAGGCCTCTAGCATATGTTCCTGTTAAATATGATCTAGTGCATTACTACAATAAAATCAAAACAAACAATAAATATTACATCATATAGACGAATGACAGACCTCTTTGTCAAGACACAGAACATGCATTGTTCTTTTATGCCCCTGAGAGTCATCACTATACTCAATCCATTTATTAAGAACTCGGACGATCATAATATCAATATAAGCACCAACGCGTAGTCCACGAAACACCTTGCATGTGGAAATTGGGTCTGTGGTAAACGAAAGACAATGAAAAACCCCAAAACTTCACACCTCGGCAGGGTTCATTCATAAACCAACAAACAGAAACTTGAAACAGAAAGCAACAGAGTCGATACCTCGTGGGAGACTTGGAAGTTTGAAATCACGCGGCATTACACAACGATGCCTGATATGGAAAGACAATAGAAGATCAAAAATTTGTTCAAGTGTCAAGAAGCAGAAACAGAATGCAAGAATGCAAAAGGGAAAAGTATCGACGATTATACCCCATGAACACACGACTATCTCTGATCTCGAAGGTGCGGAGTACTGTAGTTCCTGCGAAAAGAAGTTTAGAGAACAGGGGAAGTTAAAAAGGCAGAATCAGAACTGAAATGAAAAGGTGGTGGAAGTTGCTCCCTAAAACGTTTTCGCACCACCATTATAAAATCATAAATTGAGTATTCAATGGACCTTCAATTGTTCCCCTAATGGACCGAACAATTATAGAATGGGCTTCCCAAAAGCTATAGATACTTAATATAAGCTATAAGGCATCTCCTATTCGGGCTAAATATGAGAATACTGGGCCCAATTCATATGTATAATTATATATCGTAAAAGAGGGTCCGTTACTTATATTCATCTATCCGCGCCTGGGCTTGAAGCAAATTGAGAAAACACCAATGTTTCATTTGAGAACACTCTAATCATGTAACCGCAGTTTGTTACTGTCTATTCATTTTTAACATCGTCAATGGGCTAGGTAATACCACACAATCAAACTAAAGTTTGCTCTTGCTGTATATTTTAAAAAACATGGGTTGTACACGGTTCCTCATCTATGGCCATGTTCAACATAGGCTAAAAACCATCAACTGGTTGTTCCTCCTTTCTTGACTACACTCTCAAACCGTTGTAACCCATAATCGGCTAGAAACCTTGGCTATTGATCCATGAACAACACTGAGAAAACTCAACACGCAAGCTACTCGATAGTGCACCTCCCGTACTTGCAAAAGCTGAACATCAAACAAAAGATAGGTGGCATGGGAGAGAGATGTCCACCAAGGCAATCAACGTTACATACGACATCATAAAAAAACATAAACAATACCATTACACCACGTACAATAACCATACATAGGTCTTTTTGTTCCTTCTCGCAAGAACTTAACTATTTCCCTTGCACAAAAGAGGTTCATTTGATACACTAACACTTCCTAGCCTTGACTGTTCCTTTGCCCACAAAATGTAACCATCTCCCCTATTGTTCAAAGGACCCCATCCACAAACATACAAGGATCAAAGTGAAATTTTCCATACATATATTCAAAATAGTAGCAATTGCAAAGGCAATGCCTGTTCTGCCATCATGCAAAAATTCATGGGTCACCATTCAAATACATTACATAGGCTTTCTTGTTCCTTCTCGGCAGAACTGAACTATTTTCCTTGTACAAAAGAGGTTCATTAGATACACTAACACTTCCTAGCCCTGACTGTTCCTTTGCCCACAAAATGTAACCATCTCCCCTATCGTTCAAAGGACCCCATCTGCAAACATAGAAGGATCAAAGTGAAATTCTCCATACATATATATATTAAAAACAGTAGCAATTGCAAAGGCAACACTTGTTCTGCCACCATGCAATAATCCATGGGTCACCACTCAAATACATTACAGGGAAGAAGGCCAACAAATAGTAAGAGTGGATTCCAATCCTAATCAAGATGCAATAACTCGTGGATTCGAAACCCACCCAAAAAATTAGCAAAAATTATTTCCTCTCAAGGAATTTGAAAGCATGAAGAACCGGTTAACAGATGGAATTCGTCGAGCGACGAACAGGGCAACATAACCCTAGGAAAAATGGTAAATTTGATAAGCATCATAAGGCAAATACCTGACACGACATACAGTCACCCCGAGACCACACTTAACAATTAACAAACAATACTATTTTCCTTGTACAAAAGAGGATCAAAGTGTTGTCGTGGACTTCGGCTTCCCGCGTCGTGGGTACTGTCCAACCCCGATCAACAAAGGAATAGGTACAGCAGATCTGGCGATTCTAGGCCATTCCTAGGTGGCCGATTGCAACGAACGCCTGCAAGATCTCACCCCCTTCTTGCTCCAGCCAATCTTTTGAAGGTGAGAAGAAAAAGAAAGAAACCAATTAATGATGAGATAAACAATTTCTCTCTCAGCAAGATTTAAAGTGATGAAAGAGTAATATAAATCTCAATCAGGAAAACCCAGAAAACATACTCTGGGGATCTGAGTATCTTCCAATTCCTCTCCGACCCCCTCAAATTTGCCAGTTGATTGCTCCAAGCACTGCTGGTTTCGAAAATGAGAAGAGAGCCAAAAGTAGAGAGAAAACAAAAGATGATCAATATATATAAACAAAATTTTGAGAGACAGAGGAACAATCACATGAAATCAGTATAGAACCTGTGGTTTTGGATGTTCTTCGAATCCTCCCTCCCTCTTCCAAATAGCTCCAAATCCACTCCAGGACACTCAAATCCCAACAGTCAAATCACAAACGAAATCAGGGAACTCCGATCGATCCACCAAAACAAATGAAATACAAAGCATCCATAGAAAGACTCACCACAGGAGATTCACAGCTGAAGGATGGATCAGCTCCGATGCAAAGCTCGGATCCTTCTGTTCCTGAGAGAGGCGATGAACAAACCTGAAAAAAGAGGATCAAAGAAACCCCATTTTTCTAGATAGAAAGAGAGAGAATGAACCCAGTCAAGAAAAGGAAGAGAAAACGAATGCAAAGAAAGAGGAAGATATGTATTTCAAGAGAAGAGCACTCCTCTGACCTCGATGAGAGAGAATACAGCACCACGGGTAGATTAGGCTAACCACACATATTTTTTCTGCCAACCGTCAATCTCACTTGTTCTGCCTCCCTGACTAAGCTCCTATCCCCTCATATTTTTTTCCCTTCCTTTGCTTCCTGATTAGTCCCCTCAATTACCTTTCCAGTTTCAGAAAGTACGCCCAGTCTACATCAGCAAGACACACCTCTCTTCTCCCATACCTCCCTCCTCTCTCAGCCTCCGAAGCCGGCACGACTCCCACCTCTCAAGCGGGCCACACCTCAAATACCCTGACCTTGCCCTAAGCCACTTGCAGAGCCACTGCAATAAACCCTTCCAGTCCCCCAATGGGCCACCATCTCTGAGTCTCCCACCCACGGATACGTCGATCGCCTGCAGAGGACCTGACACAGCTGCCAAGGAGAATAGGTCGGCCGCCTTAAATCAATCCAATCAAGCAAATGGGCAGGCTCCAGCCACCGAGAGGGCCCTGGTGACCAACGCGTCCGTGGACCACAACCGACCCAGCAGACCAAAAAAGCCCAACGACCAAGTTCCATCCCAACCGACCCGCCAAACACCCGTCCGATCCCAAAGAGCCCCCACCCAACGACAGCCCACACAGCGCCAGCTTCCGGGTTATAACAGTACATCCCGGTCAGCATGAGCAGTAAAAGCAGTCTGCGTGTGCAGTACCAGGTCCTGCGGTGGGATTTATTTCTTTCAATATTTTAGGTTTGGGGAGCTCGGCTGTCCAAGGGAGGTTTGGGGTATTTTAGGATTAGTATGTTTTATGAGTATATTATAGTTAGGAATAATTGAAAGGGAAGTCGAGGTATGAGATAATTGGGAAGGGTTAGAGTGTTAATATTTTTTTATTAGTATGATGTTAACATGAATTTCCGGTGAATTGTTAACATGAATTTTAATCTATAAGAACATATTACAAGTTTCTAAAAGTACATCAGAAGTTTATTGGAGCATACAATAAGTTTCTTAAAGCAGATCACAAGTTCTATGAAACATGTGAGAAACCTAAGAAAGCAACCCACAAGTTTTTTTTAAAGCATACCAAGAATCTCATAACATTGGACCTATTTATAAATCTTAAACATTTCAAGTATCAAAATATAAGAAAAATATTTTAGGTACTAAAACGTTCATTTTTATCAATACTTTTAGAAATTATTTGTAAAAAAAATTACTTTTAGGCATCAAATATTAAATCTATTATGTTCAGGTAATAAAATGTAACTTTTTTATAAAACCTCAATGAAAGGAACATAGAGGAAGAGGGAATGAGGAAGGGAAGATGGTGAAGAACAGTTACTATATAATCCTTATTAAAATTGTTAATAGCGTGCTAACACCCTCCTCCTAGGATTAATTATTATTTAATTTTGTTAGGTGGCCAAAATAGAACCGAGTAGTATCATTGTTTTGGTTTATCGATAAAACCAAGATAGCCAATCTCATGAAAGGTTTCGTGTGACCGTAGCCAATTTCATTGCATAAAATATAGATTGTCCGTGAAATTGATCCTCAGATCTCTCTGGATGAAGGATAACTTTGGGTATAAATGAAGTGATTGAGTTCAAATGATTGATTGGGTTGTTCTACCATTTGTTGTTTTTATCTGATAAATTTTGGCATATTCTACTTAATGAAATCTTACACTCAAGTGTGGCGGTAGTAGATTGAAATTGCAAGTATATTTGCTATGATGAATGATTTTCCAATTGAAGCACAAGGAGATGTACATGGGCAAGGGAAGGATAAAGGTTAGTACTTATTTTCCTTTTTCATGTTTTATTAAATATTGTCATCTGTGGTTCTGTGTGTTGCTTGGATCTATGGATATGTAGAGTATGAATAGTATATACCATGAAGACTTATCTCTTCTGACTTTGTCATATTTGTCCTTAACATAAATTTAAGAGCTAAATAATTCTATTGTTTTTATTTGCAAAAGGATTCAGGGTTATGCCATAACAATTCTGGTTGTATTGTATCTTTGCACTCCTTATGTCTCATTGTAAGTTATATCTTCTAACATTCGTTATCCCTAAGTTTAGGGGCGGAGTCAGGATTTGACATTGGGGGGGGGGGCGGAAGGGGCGAATTTTTTTATTCTACTACTTCGAAAAACAGATAAAATTAACAAAAACATTTTTTTGCTATCATTATAACTGGCAATTTTAGATGATTAGAGTTAATCAAAATATTTATAAATTATTTCAAGTAGACAAACTCACAAAAGTGAATATATCATACCCATAAGTTTTATTTATGAATCCATTAGTTTATATGATTCTAAAATTATTATTGATTTACCAATTGTAATTGTAACTGCAGAAAATGCAATTTCATCTTTGAGTCAGGAACGAAGACATAATGTAATGTTCCGAAGGGGTTTATTTGCTACTGCGGAAAGACAATAAAATTAAGAAAAAGGAAAAAAATTATATTTTGTAATATTTTCATAACATCAATTTTAATTCATATAAATTTTTATTTAAGAAATATGTATCAATTATTGAGACTAAAACTTGAAAAGTAAATATGTGCATTTAATGGGTTGCGAACTCCTAACCTAATGAAATTTAAAAGCAAGTTCCCAGCCGCTGGCCTATCTCACCTTCGTGTTCCACTATTGCAACCTGAACAATTTTATACAAAGTTCATAAGTTTATACGAAATTTCCAAATACCGGTATAATTTGTACGTAACTTCTAAAATTCTGGGGGGGGGGAGCCTATGTGTAGCTCCGCCCCTGCCCAAGTTGAAGGTAAACATTTGAGCTTGAGGTCCTATATACTTCAAGCTAGACTAAAGAAATTTGACCTATATACTTAATGCAAATGCGCTTGCAAATAATGATCCAGAAACCAATCTTATAGCCGTTGCGAAGCGCGGCCAACATCCCCTAGTTATGATAAATTAATTAATGCCCCACCACCATCACCTACCACAAAGCTTAAGATGTAGATCTGAGTCTGACCAGGTAGATACAAATATATAGACAGCTAACTAGCCAGCACTACACGATCCTCACTTAAACAATATGATTACACCTGAAACCCTGAAGAACATGATACATTACTAAAAGATACAAATTCGTTTTTCGAGTTTCAGTACCTGTACCAACATAAAGTAATTTATCGAGGAATATCATTCATATGCCGCTTGCGGTGTTCCAATGGCCATTTCCAGTGGGTGGATCGTTGGAGAACTAGCAATAAAGGAAACTCAAAATGAGAGTTGGTGCATGATACAGCCCATTTCCCTCCCTCTGCCAAGCGGTAATAATTATTTAGATTGGCACGGTTCATGGGCTATCTAGTACCTATCTATCTGGTACAAGATAAAATAGAACTACCCATGAAATGCAAAGTGTGGATGAAGTGCATAACAAAAAACAAAAAAAAACTGAATTTTTGATAATCTAAGGACTTCTCCCCGGCAACGACGCAAAAAAATTAGTTCACCTACTACTAACAATCTATTCAAAGGCCAAGTGCAAGTAATGGTTAGAAGCAGTATAGTGGTTAAGTAATAAATTATCGATCTTGGATCGCCAGATCTACTATTACGTACTCAGACTAATTTGGTTATGTAACAATTCCAGGTTTATATTGTATGCAAAAGATTAACAAAGCATAAAATAAACTAGTTTCAATGGGGGAAAAGGTTCCTCAGCCATGGATTCCCCCTAGATACTACACTATAAAAAATACATCCTTTAGTCACCGTAAATCCCGTGGCTAAAAGACAGAAAACGGTCGCTATATGCTTTTAGCGAGAGTTCTTTTCCGGCCGCTAAAAGCTTGGTCGCTAGATGTAACTGGCGACGGTGATTCAACTCCGGCCGTTAATTGCAATAACGACCGCACCAATACAGTCGTTAAAGGACTATTTAGGGACCGTAGAATACCCATGTCCCAGCTATTATATATATAACCATTTCTTTGTTTTAGTGATATTTTTTAATGTAATCAATAATCATACCCGTAAATCTATATGCTGCCGTTTTTCCCAAACACAAAATCACCTGTTTCATTATAAAACTTATAAACATTACATTAAACCATTCAATTGTATTTGTTAATTGCTGCTAATAGTATCAAATTACATAATAATTGAAAGCCAATACACGAGTAATCATTCAAGTCCAAAAGATGATGGGAATTTTTTAATACATGCTTCCACCATATGTCAGTGTTCTAGAAGATCTAACACCATTTACAAAAAGGTCTTCTAGATCTTCTGATGGAATATCCATTATCTTCCTCCATATATAACAAAATGTTAACTGTTAATCCCATGTTTGACGTTCACTAGCTACCTGCAACAGCCCAAAGAGGAGTCTTAACATAAAAGAATGATAACTAAACCAATTTGCATTGATGGATAATCATAATAATAATGACAACGAAAATAGTTACCAAAAGGGATTCATATATCAGTATGCATATCACAACATGTCAATAGGAGTTCTGGAAACAAATGCATAGTTCAAAAGTACCAACTATCTTAAAGTGATTCATTAGACAACTGACATTAAGGTTCTAAAATCATCTAAGGAAGATATAAACATAAAACAAAAATGGCTCACAAGTTGGACTAACAAAAGGAGGAAAACAACCTTTATCTAAAAATTCTAAAGTATGTACTCTGTAACGATTGGGATCTAGTTTCCCTCTGTTGCTTTCATATGCACAAATATTCAGCCCTTAATAATAAAATATCTAAACTAAAGTCTAGATTCCACAAGCCTAAGTTGGTCTAATATACGCAGGAATACAACCCTTAGAGTCAACTTCGCAAAAAACTAAAACAGAGGTGATAAGGCCAGGGGAAAAACAAACAAATATTACCCTTATATGATCTATTCTAAATAACACTATGAACTCAAAAGAATCACATTGTACGTACCTAATTAAGATTGTTGGTTGTTGCTTAGTTGACCTTTGAACATTTGCGCCCAAACTTGCATTTGCCCGGTCATCTGTGCCATAATTTCATCCTTCAAATTTGCTGCTATCTTTGTTTCTATTGCAGCTTCCATATCAGCTCTTTCATTAGCTGCACTCATAGCTTTAGCCTTCAGATTTTCATTCTCTTGTTGCAGAAAAGCTTTTTCTTCTTCGAGTCTTCTTAATTTTGCTGCACGATCAGCATCCTTCTTTGCCTTTCGTAACTTCAGATGTTTGCATTTGTTCCCAGCTCCAGATCGTCTTTCATCTTCGCCATTAGCTCTTTCATTAGCTTTACGTCTGGCTATAGCCTTCAGGCTGTCATTCTCTTCTTGAAGAGAAGCCTTTTCTTCTTCCACTCTTCTTAATTTGGTTGCAGACTCAGTATCCTTCTTTTGTCTCTTCAGATGTTTTCGCTTTACCCCAGCTCCAGAT